ATGACTCAGCAGTAAACATTGTCAATCTGACACTGCCTTGGCTGAATACTGGCTTGCTGTTTTGATGCTGTATTCCATGAATACAGGGGTACCCTCTAAAACAATCATTTATTCAAAGATAGACTGAAATGAGGTAAATGCCCCCTATTTCTAGAGTATATTCCACTTCACCTCACTTGAATGGAGATACATTGTACAACATATCAATCATCATTGCCCCAAGGAAGGTATCAAGCAGATTGGTATGCTTTGATGAAAGGTAATTATACCAGCTATATAGATCAAGACTATCAAAACATTGGCAGGGAAAAATCTCATCGTAGTGTATGGCAAAATCTGTAATGCTAGCGTGTTAATTTCACTTCTTTGGTTCTGTACGTCACAGAAGACATACCAGAATGGATCATTACTTAAAAAGGTGGAATCTCTACTTGTACTGTGATGGTCAGTATTTCTAAGTCAAGCCATTGTTGTTCCTGCAGTACTGTTGTCTCCTGCTAGAGGTCTCTCTTTACTAGGAGGAATTAACATAATTTATGTGAGATTGCTTCATCAAAGGCTTTAAATTCTCAGATGGATCATGTTGAAGTACTATTCAAGGTGAATAGTTGAGTTGTTTTGTTATGGAGGAAATTTGATAAAGAACTTGTGTTAAAAAAAGGCTGAAGTCAGAAGGATACGAACTGTACAAACTTTTGAAAAGAAGTTTCATGAGATTTTTTTACAAAAAGGATGACAGAGGCAAAAGAAAAGTAGAGAAAGTTTTTATTGTGAGATAATTGTCCTAGAGGAAAATGTTGTCTATGCGAAAATGAGCTTGTTTACCAGCAACTGTTGTAAAATTGCAGAGTCAAGAAACTTTCTGTATGTATATTTCTAGCTAACTGACACCAAGCGCTTGTCACTATTTATGAACGATGCTGGTAACTTAAGGCTATGTCTAACAGCAAAAACATTTGCTTGTTACCAAGTGAAATTGTATCAAAATAACAGTTTAATTCAAAACCAATTACAAAAGTAACAGTGAAAATTGATACAGATATTCTCTTAAAAAAGATTTTAGGGATGAATTCGCTGATAATTTGCCGTCAGTAGTTTTCATTATTTTTAAGTATCATGGAAACCATGCTATTAATTATGCCTTTGGTGCAAACCAAACCTAGCATAGATAAAGTCTTGAATATGTTTTGCTGGCAGAATGCCTGTTGACTTAATATTCTAAGGTACCCAGTTACTGTGATTTTGGTCTTTCCCAAAGTCCATTGTGTTTATGTTAAATTATTGGTTTTGTATGTAATGATAACTTGTAAGTGTATATAAGGTGGTATCGCAATGAGTATTTCTGTTAAGCGTACATGTATAGCCGTCTATACATGATGAGGATTGTGTTGTAAGCTATGTAAATGAGCACTTTGGTTTTGGTGATTTTACATGTTTGAAATGAGCTTTGGGTTAGACTGGAAATGTATTTGATGAAGGAAATAACACTGCCTTAATGTCATCACCATATTGTGGGTCTTTTATTCTTTACAAAGTTCTGAAATACTTGTTTCTTTCAGTTTTACATTCTTTCAATCTACATTGGATTCACAACACAGTCATTATATACTAGTATCAATTCTCAGGACCTAAACATATTATCTTTAGTACTAGAAAATTGTTGTATATATATATGTCCTATGAGTACCTTCATAGCCTTATGATTTCAAGGCATCCAATGCAATTTCATGGGAGCAAAACAAATTTTATTCTGGATGAGGAAATCTGTCTGATATTGACATTTACTGCCATTTCTTTGCACATTTTTGTCATCATTTCATACTTGAAGTGTCTGAAACAACTTTAAAACAAGCTACACCAAGAGTCTTTTTTTTGGTACCATGAATAAATTTATAGAACCAGCCTACAATACAAAACAAGCAATTGTTTTTCGTCAGCAACGTCAGATTTTTACCTCACAGATATCAGTATGCTTTAGGATAGGTTGATTTAACTTACTACATTAAAAGAAATGACCAGAAAATTGACTTTGAAAATCCAGTTTTACTGCCCTGAAATCACTTTAGGTGCCTTCCTTTATTGGCTGACAAGTTAGGAATAGTATGAATAGCAAACGTAACTGGTAGATTAGTAGCTAAATCATAATTATACTCATGACAGAGCACTTCTCTTACAATCTTTCCTCAGACACACAACAACATATAGACATCTTGAGTTTCACATACATGTAGCTTAAGTTTTTGATATTGTTAGCCAAGAAACTGTAAAAACAACTTTTTTTCCTAGGCCTTATGAGACTGATGTTTGGTATCGAGTTTCCAGCTCTTTTACAGAGTCCCATGAAAAATGGCAACCCAGGATGCCAATATCTAACTCTATCACTGGCATAGTCCTTTAGTTATTTCTGTCTATTTCGCCAATGCTTACCTTTTTTCAGCAAACCAAGGCATCTGACAGAGACTACCTCCATATCTTACAGAATGGTGGATGTTGTACTTTGAAACATTTCAAACTGATCTTGCAAACAAACAGACTAGCTGAAGGTGATGAGTTTGAATGAACTCCTTAAGGAAGAGCACCTTCACCTGCAGGCGCACACCTGTTAAGAATACGTTTGGCCTCGTACTCCAAGATGTTTTTGAATCTGATGAAGACATTCTCGATGCACTCCTCTAAGGCAGTGGTGTAGCAGCCGTATAAGTCATAGTGGGCCCTGAAGACAGGAAACAAGATGCACAGAATTGCTGAAATCAGTGCTTTTGGAACACTGCATAGTTCTACTAAATGTAGTCTTGTGTTATTGTAGCTTGCATTACCAATTAGGTGGTTTAAGCAAAATTCTGTAACAGTTGCCACTCACAATTTGTTGCTACATACATGTAGATGTCGAAGTTACCACCTTTTGCTTTAAAAGATAGGAACTAAGGAAGAGACGATTTTTGGCTATTATTACCCATCTATGTGTGATTGTTCTGTCTCTCTTTTGTTACACAGACGAGGAAATAGACTTCGTACTTACAGACAGAAAGCTCTGTGCGTTATCTTCCCACTTCTCCGGATCTTGTGAGCCTGGAGTTGGTATCTCCCGTAACAGGTGCTGAACTGGTCCGCGATGAATGGCGCACAGCCGAGGTCTGGTAGGAAAACAGTGAAGGATCTGAGATTCTTGATACACGTCTTTTAAACAATTTTAGCACTTTGATCAGTGAATAGTGTAGACTACGTGTAGGGAAGGGGAGGGAGTAGTGTATGGAAGGGGACAGGTTGGTGTATAGAAGGGAAGGGGAGGGTAGTGTAGGAAAGGGGAAGGCAAGTGTAGGAAAGGGAAGGGGAGGTGTAGGGAAGGGTAGGGGTAGTTTAGAG